TGTGTGCATTTACCTTGTGAAATCATGTGCATTTACCTTGATTTCAAATCATCTTCAGCATCTTCAAGCCTTAGGTTACTTTATATTTATGGGGATGACCCTGAAAAAATACAGATTCTAAGAACTTTGGGTAAGGCCATAGGACCAGTATCCAGATTACCTTCGTGATCTGATATAAGTGCTCCACATATGACATCCTAAATGTTGAGAAATATTGATCCAAGAGATCAGATCAGCATACACAGTATACATCCTCTTTGGACCATCAAAGGCCTGTGGCTTTTTTTTTTTTAATGCTTTTGGCATGAAATGTTCTTTTATTATCACTCTTCATTTTTTAGTTATTTTTTTTAATCCAGGGGCACTTAACCACTGAGCCACATCCCCAGCCCTTTTTATTTTTTATTTTGAGACAGAGCCTTGCTAAGTTATTGAGGCTGGCCTTGAACTTGAGATCTGCCTCCCTTAGCCTCCCAGGTTGCTGTGATTATATGCATGTGCCACCTGGCCTAGCTAAAGAGTGTTTTAATTTGCTAACAAAACTTTGTTTCCCATGTGTCTCAGCCTCTAGATTAGAGAATTGGACCACTGCAATTTATGTTATTATCCTTCCTCCACTATTCTTTTCCACCATCATTTAAACTTCTTCTACTTATCTTCCGGAAGGGTGCTATAACCCACTCTTCCCTAGAGTCTCAGACACAAACAAAAGCTTCAGAAACCATCATAGTGTTTATCATGCTGCATTCTCAGGTGTAAGTCAGAAAATCCAGTCCAGGCTATCTTTTGCTAGAGGTTTATTCTGTCTCAAAATTGCACTTTTGTAGACTCAAGGACAGTAGACAAGTCCATCATTAATAACAATAGTAAAAATAATTCGCCAAAGATGTATAATATCATCATCTTAATAATCCAAAGATAATCTGACATTTTGCATTTTCAGTGCATTAGTCAGAAACATATTAACTTGTGATTTTGCAAAAAATGTTCATTCTGAGTTCATGATATTCTAATTTTATGTATATAAGAAAGAATAATCAATAGTTTCTGTTTTTTTAAATCCTAAATGTAAGCTTGTTAAAAAGTTTATGACACTGGGAATAGATGAAGGGTGTGATGACTTGTGCTGGAACATCTTCCATCTGACAAAGTTGACATTCACTTGGCCCCATCCACACAGCAGAGACTGGCAGAGGACACAGAGATTCCCAGAGGTGATGTCTCCTATCTCTTCAGAGACCAATACAGAAACCAAGGCTGGAGTTCAATGAGAAAACACAACGAACACTTACTTGGTGTATAGGGGTGCTCTTCTCTGAACCAAACTCTTGGGAGCACATCCAAAAGGATGTAGAGAGGCTGATTGTGTTGTAGTAGGCTGACCTCATCCCTCCTAGTCTCTAGGGCTGAATGATTCTATCATTATGTGAATCTATTTGCTTCCCAGGAGTTACTATGTCTTTAAAAAAAATTTTTTTTGGCTTTGGCCTACAGTGACATTACAGAAAAAAAAAATTTAAAAAGAGCCATGTTTTTGCACTCTTTTCTGGCCCTAAAGATGCCAACATTAGAGGCATCTATGATGAGTCCTCTTAGAAGGGGATGTTTTTTGGATGCTGAGGAAAATGGTTATAATTTAACTAATAAGAAAGGAAAGTTGAACTGTAGGATTTAGATGAATCTAAACTGATTTTGGCCCAGTGGTTTGGCCATACCCCAGGATCTGTCCATGGGTCTAATTGGGATAATTTTAGGGAACTATCCTGACCTCTGATCATCTTCCATTTATAGAATTCTCCTTTGTGTTCTCCCAGTTCTGGATTGGAAACTCTTAGCCTGAACTACAGTCACTAACAGATGTAGAGATGATCAGGTATACTTTGAAACTCTAGGTGTTAAAGTATGAAAAACATTTAGTGCCTCACATCTTGCATCCTTATTTTAAATAAAATGTAATAAGAATTTCTGACTGCATTACTTATAGGAAGGGCAAATATTGTTTTGTGAAATTTTATTTGTGTACATATGTATGTATGTATGAGTGCCACGAGTTACAAAGTAAAATATATCTAATTGGGATTAAGGTTTTAAAATTCAAGAACTACTATTTCATACTTGACTTTGATCTTCAAAGGTTCAGAGCATGCATGCTGTTTAAGTCTGGATCCTGGTTCCAACTCTTGGTAGCTGTGTGATCGTGGGCAATTATTTAACTTCTCTGTGCCATAATTTTCACATATCTCAAATATGTGATATGAGAATAATAAGAGTAGCTATCTCACTGGGTTGATATGTGGATTCAGCAGAGTAACATCTGTAAAGTGCTTAAAACCTTGCCTGACATGAAGTAACTTGTGTCTTTGGAAAAAATTGATCTGTGCTCAAGTTTATTTTATTTTCACATTTTCAATCAAGACAACAAAGCCATATGGATATTTATTATCTATATATCATTAGATACTTGGAAAAGTGACTGTTCTGAGTGGGTATTATTTTGGAATGCTTAAGAGTGCTTTGGAACCATATTGCTGGGTTCAAACCACAGCTGCACCACTAGCTTGCTGTGTGACCTCTGGCAAATTATTTGATTTTGTATGTCCTCAGTTTCTTTATCTGTAAAGTGGGCTTAGTAAAATATATCTCATAGGGTTGTTGCCAGGATTAAGTGAGACCATCCATAGAAGATGCTTAGGGCTCGAGTAGTAACTATTATCATTTTCACTGTTAGTAATTCAGACCATGTCCTTGCTGCATCCTTCCCAGTGTACTGAAAGGCAATCCCTCCTCTTCTTCCATGTGAATGGCTTGCTTAAATTACCATTTCAGTTCAGCTGTGCTGAATCAACCACATAGGGGCTTAGATAAAGACCAATACTCCTGATGAGGAAAGTCATTGTGAGGCCCAGGGGTGGATTCAGACCGCCCCACTGAGCTCCCTCTTCAGCCTCACTCTCACAACTTAGCCAAGTCACTAGAATCGTCCTTTTGCCTCAGCAGGTCCTCACATCCCTGTGGATAATTCTGAAGTGTCACAATGCAAGCCTGACAGCCAGAATCCATTTTGCAGTACAGTTGTCTATGGCAAGAGAGAACATCATATTGCCTTCCCCTTCATGTAGCGGGAGGAAACTGATGGGGACAAAGTTGCTGTCCAATATGATGAAGCGCTTTGTCTGATGTATCACTTGTAAAAACTGCAGAAGCATAAAATGGCTCATTAACTGAAGGAGCTTGCAACTTGAGTTCTTCAGTTCTTAAGGACCTTCAGCAAAGCTGTTCTGACAAAGAGTAATCTAAGATTCTGGAGGACTCTTGGGCTCGAAGACCTGCTTGTGTATTTCTGTAATTCTCCCCTTTTCTCCCATGGCAATGTGTCTTTAAAAATAAATAATGGAGCAATATCATGTAATATCAATTTCTTGCCTTGACCATAAGATCCTTAAGGGTAGGAGACCTGCCTTATTCATCTTTGTATCCCCTGCAAGCACCTGGCACACATCTCAATCAACATCTGTGGAGCTCAAGTGGCTGAATTTGTACCTCAGATCAAGGAGATCATAATTGGACTAGAGCTGAAGGCAAGCCAGGAAACATTTCCTTCCTGCTGAATGGAGAGCTGGCTTTCAAGGAGATTCAAGTAGCCCCCGAAGGCTCCATCCTCCAGCCCCCAGGGAAGGTCTAAAGGTGATTCTATTGGTGCCTTTGGTGAAAGTTCTTTCTCTTAGTTCTTACGGAATAGGAAAATAAAGCACCCTCTTCTGCATCTTGGTGGTTTGCGATCCAGGGTTCAGAGACAGTAAATTGGAAATGTGAACTTTTTTCATCCTCTGCCTAGCTGAGGATGTAGACAGATGGCTAGGAACACAGAGCCTGTTCTAATTCAACTTGGTCCTAATTAAATACAGGGGTATATTTGTTATTTTCCTTCCTTCCAAAAGGTGTAAGTCTTTGACTTAACTTTTTTAGTTTATAAGCAGAAACACAGACAAAATGAGCTTTTGGAACTCTCCATATCTATTTACATCTCTCTCTCTCTCTCTCTCTCTCTCTCTCTCTCTCTCTCTCTATATATATATATATATATATATATATATATATATATATATATATATTCTCCTGTCCATAGCTAGACAACATTAATATTAATGTTTCCTTTTACAGTTGAGGAAACTGAGGCCCAAGGAGGTTAAATACAAAATGAGAAGCTGGAAGTCAGCTCGGTTTGGATGCACTCTCTATACCATGAACTTCCTTCTATTCCCTTAGCAGGCTGGTGAGTGCGCGTGTGTGTGCGTGACTGTGCAAGTGTTTCTCTTTTTCTTTATAAAACTCTCCTTCTCTTGATCAGTTTTCTCCTTTCTACTTTTTTTGAGACAAAGTCCAGTTCTTCTCCAAGGTCCAAGGTCTCACCACCCCCTCAGCCATTTCTCTGGCATCCCAAGGACGGCCAGCCACTCCCCCGCTAAGTTCGGAGTCCCTGCGCTTGACTCTGATTCCGGGATCCGCTCCCACCCTCCAGGGACTTGCGCTTTGTCGCGATCCCCCCGTGCCTCACCGATCCTCCGGGACCCGAGTGGACCCGGGTGCCTGCGCTTCGGCCCCGCCTCCTCTACCTGACGCCCATCGGCGCGCCTGCTTTGCCATTGGTTCTCGGTGCTGCCCGTCTCCTCCGATGGGTCCCGGAGGCAGGTTTTGCCCGAGAAGCCGCAGTCCCGGCGGCTCCGGCGCAGCGCGGGAGGACAGTGGAGCGCATAGCGCGGATCTGAGCGGGCATGTCCCCCCTCGCGGGAGTCCCCGTCGGCCGCCGGGCCCAAGCAACTGCTAACTTGGTGGCGGGTTCCCGCGGCCCTGCCGTGGCTACGTAGTGGCCGGCGGGGCTCCCCGGAGCCTGGGAGCGGCAGTGCGATCTAGCCCGAGCCCAGCAGCCCGCGGCTTCCCCGGAGGTGCTGAGTGCGCGTGGCTCTCGCTGCACCTCGGGCAGCACTTTGGCCAACTGCGAAATGGGGGAGAAAGTTTCGGAGGCGCCAGAGCCGGTGGCCCGTGGCTGTAGTGGCCACGGCGCTCGGACTCTTGCCCCTGCGGCAGCCGCCTCGTCCTCGATGGGCGCTTCCTCCGCCGAGTCTTCCTCGGGCTCTGAAACTCTTTCCGAGGAAGGGGAGCTGGGCGGCTTCTCCCGCAAGTCGCAGCAGCCTGCGCCGCCGGGCGGCGCCCTGGGTGCCCGACCGCCCGCCGCGTGGGCTCCCGCGCGCGTGGTGCTGGAGCATGGAGTCCCTACATTGCCGCTGCCACTCGGAGGAGCCGCGCCACCCGCGCCCGGGGGCAGCAGCGCGTCCCAGGAGGAGCAGGACGAGGAGGTGGGCCCCGCTTTTTCCCAACTCGCCACCTCAGGGTCCCGACAGCCGGTCAATCGCTGCTCCGGGTCCTATGCACATGCGGTGGACAGTGGAGCCCAGTGGCATGGAGAGGGGAGGCATACCTAGTTGACCCAGTGTAATTGACAGTTAGGAGCCTTTCGGGAGGGTCATTGACTTCCCTGTGGCTGTTACCTCAGTGTGTGTGTGTGTGTGTGTGTGTGTGTGTGTGTGTTGTCTGTCTGTCTACCATTGCTGCCTGATGGCGTGCTTTTAAAATGTCAAAGTTGCAAACTCCTTAATGTCTGTGTGTGTTTGGGTCAGTCAACGAAGGGATGCTATCTGGACGTCTGACTTGTACCCACAACTGAGATCTGATTCTTCAGAGTCGGGGTTGCTAAGCACTGACTTGGGTGCGCTTGGGTGGAGAGGGGGAGATGGTGCTTGGGGCAGGGAGGGCGCTTAGCTGCGAAGTTGCAAGGTGAGGTCTCACTGTCATCAGCCCCAGAGATCGCCAATGGGTGGTTTTGGCGGGTCGCTGCAGCACGCATCCTCTGGGATAGGAGAATTTACAGTGCTCTTCCAGCAGTACCTCAGTTCCGATTCAGACTTGTTTCCAGGGTGTTCAGAGGAGTGCAATCACTGAAGCTAGTAGGAAACTCCCACATTGTTCCGAGGACTTGGTCCTAGTTTCATGGAAGAATGTCCATTTAGAACTTGTGGGTCCCTTCTTGACTGAGCTTCGGAGTTCACCTAGCTCCTAACTCTGCTTTGTTTCTGCTTTGAAGGACAGTGAATGAAGTATAAGGTTCTTTGTGACTCCAAGATTGTTTGCTTTGGATGTTCCTTGTGGGGAAGTCATTCTGATTAGGCAGGGCCATAAATAAAACATTACCCTAACATAGCCTCCTTGTGAAATTAATTCCTTAGTGCCAGAGTGGTTAGCTTGTAAGTAATTGTCTTTGTCCCGAGAAGAATCAAACTGAGGCCAATGCCCTGTTGGTAGCTTTCTGGTTCTCCCTCTTGGAAGCAAAGACTGAATCTGGCATCAGGGGTGTGAAGCAAGTCCTAGCCTGGCTGAGATGGAATGAACTGTAGTTGGTGGTTGGTCAAGCCTCGGGCAGTAACCATGACCCATTCCCCAGTGCCTCTGGGGATTGCAAGGATCCCAGTCTGGTGCCTGGAGATTGGCTTTCTAGAACTGCTTCTGTTGAGTGTGAGACCCTGGGCCCGATTCATTCTGCAGGTTCCATTCTCTAATCTGTATAATGAGAAACTTCAAGGTAAAGCTCATTTCCACACTACTACTACTTTTACTGATCAGGAATTTTGGATGGATCCAAAGTGCCAGAATGATCCTAGTGGCAGTATGCCGGAAGTTTGTTGAGTGCCACACTTACACAATGATTTGTCATGGTAGAGAGATGACCAAATCCTGTACTGTAACAGCATTCCTCATTGGTATTCATCTTGTAACTTCTGACCCAACTTGTAGAGATGAGCACACTGTCACTGGGAAGCTGGGACTATAACTTAAAGATTTACCACTAGATCCTAAGCTAGTGTTTTCAGGGTAGAAAAGATGGTAGAATTAATTGTCCTGTGTTTTCTGTTTAGCTAGGAGGATATGCCACAGTAAATAACAAGGTCTGGCAGATGGAGGGGAAGGGGAGTTGGGAACTTCTCACTTTTTATCCCAATTCTGTAGTTGATTTATTATCTGGCCTCAGGGTGACAATATTTTACTTTCTGGGAAGTGGATATAATAATAGCTTATTTCCCAGGCAATGCAGTGAAGATTGTTTGATTGAAACACATTTGGAGAGTGGAATGACTAAATAACATTGGCCACTGTTTGTGAAATCTCAGAATTGGATGTAAACGGATACAGTATTGCAATTTATTATGTAACTTAACCTGTGTCAGGGGATGCTGGAAATTGTCAAGGAGTGAAATCTTGACTTGCCTTGAGAAGTTTGAAGCAAAACTAAAGCCAGGTAGTTTATACTCCCTCACCCCCACCCGGAACAATGTAGAAATGATAATTTGGTGAGAAATGTAGAAGTCCAGTATATAATTTTTGGTTCTTACACTGGTGACAGGATAGTGAGATGGGTCTTAATCTTTTGTGGAACTGTGGTCCTCTTTGAGAAGTTTATGAAAACTATCTTCTACCTCTTCTTATAAAATACACACAGTTACAATTTCCATTCCAGAGGGTTCAGGAATGCCAGGTTATAAACACTAACAAATCCTGGGTTTGATTTCTAGCTTGATCACCTTGACTAGGTGTGTTATCATGGTTCACTGTACTTCTGATAAGCCTCAGTTTTCTCACCTCTTAATGGGAATACTAGTAATAGAGTTGTTACAGACATTTTATAATGCCATCAAGTTTAATCATAGCACAGTAGCTAATATACAGTATTGAGTGCTGTGTTAGCTTTTTGTTGCTGTGACAGAATACCTGAGGAGGGGAAAATGTAAAGGAAGAGAGATTTATTTGGGCTTACAGTTCAGAGGTTTCAGTCCATTGTTGGCTGACTCTGTTGTTTGGGGCCTGAGGTTAGGCAGAAATATCATAGTGGAAAGGTGAGGTGCAGGAAAGCTGCTCACCAGTGACAGCCAGGAAGGAGAGAGAGAGAGAAAGGGGGGGAGGGGAGACAGGAACAAGATACACCCTTCCAGGGCACACCACCAGTGACCTACTTCTTCCAACTAGACCCTGCCTGCTAAAGTTTCTGCCACTTCCCAATAATGCCATCAACTCTGAACCCATCAGCGGATTAATCCATTGATAAGGTCAGTGGCTTATTTATGATCCAGTCATTTCCCAAGAGTCCCACTTCTGAACATTGCTGCATTGGGGACCAAGCCTTCACATTGGGGGACATTCTAGATCCAAACCATAACCAGTGTCAAGTACATATTATTAATTTTTTAAAGTTCATTTGTGATAAAATTTTGTGAAGTTGAAGTGCAATGTTGAGCTGACCTGTTGTTTTATTAACATATAATTTATATGCAATCTACCTTCAGAGAATCTGAGATTGTCTACTCAGTTTAGTCTCATTTTATTAGTATAAGCTGGGAAAGGGGTTTTATTTGTCTCTGTTTGCACTGTGAGTTTGTATTACAGAGCTGAGTGTAGGCTTACACTGTGAGTTGGGTGTCTGATTGTAGGGTTGCATTGAGCGTGGTGTTACATTTTAGCAAGTTCCCAGTATAAAGCACTGAAGGCTTAAGTGCAGCTTATAAAATGGAAAGAAACTCATCTTAATTTAAAAATTGTTATATCTGGCTTAGGAGATTCATTATTTTCCAGTGGGTATTTTTTTTTAACAGCAACTTATTGCATCAATTTTTAAAAAACAGCAAAATTCAGGTTTCTATTGTATTATTGCAGTGCTGATTTTTTGACAACCTTGTTATAACTATTTTGAATATATCTAGTAATGTCACAGTGTTTGATCTACTTCACACTTTATCTTCTGTCAATATTTGTAAAAATGTACAAAGTTTCATACACTTAAGTCAATCCCATAAGTTATTGGTGTCTTAAAAATAATAGTTAGATGTGGCAGTGATGATAATTTAAACATATTTTGTTTTATTTTGCGGGGCAGAGGTGCTAGGGACTGAACCCAGGACCCCCTGCATATTAGGCAAGCATTCTACCACTGAGCTAAAGTCCCTTAATACATTTAATAAAAATGTGTTTACTACATTTTTGTACTGAATAGCAAACACAAGAGAGAGGGCAGGTGACTTTTTGCTTAAAAGAACTGCATCTGCCTTGTCTGTCTGTGTGGGTTGCTGAGTATCCTGCCTTTCGTAGTTAAGATGATCTAGATTGGAGTACTGTTCCCCTGACAACGTTGCTGATATTTGCCTCAGGCATTCTGCCTTGTCCTTTTCCCCAAAGCACCTTGAATAACTCCAGTAAAGTGCTCTGTGGCTTTTGGTAACCGTTGATTGGTAAACTGGATGAGAGCAGGGATTGTGTCTCTAGCCCAACACGATGTCTCTAATGTATTAGCAGGGACTTAGTAAACATGTTGGATGGATCAGAAAATAATGACATCTCTGAAAATAGTTGCACATTTGATTGAAGGGTGACTGTGTGTATTCACTTTGTTTTGTCTTTTGTGAATTGTGATGCTTATATCTCTGGACCCTCATCCAGAAAAACCAAGTGGATCAGAGCAGAAAATGTCATGAATGGGTTTTTGAGGTAAATTTGAATAAAGTCACATCCCTGAGGGTCCACTTAGAATACCTTTGAAGGAACTGGGGTATTAATTGTCAGTACTGCCTTTTACTGTATATTTTAGAACTGAAAACTTTCAGAGATTCTTAGAATGGCAGAAAAGGACATGATTGTTAAGAATTTCCAACTCCGTGTATACACCCCATTTAAACTCTGCTGCATTAAGGGACTTATTTTCTTGGCAACAGTTGGGAAACAGTTTTCCTTAATAACAATAGACACAATTATGGGATGTCTTCAAACTATTTCATTAAATGGTATATGAGTGGAATTCATTTGGGGTTTGTGTTTGTGGGTTTCCCACATGGTGATAATGCAGTGGATGGTTTCTGGTTTTCATTGGTGAAGAGACTAAATAGCAAAAAACAACCATGAATTCAATCAACTTTTTCATTCAATTTATATTGTATTAATCGTAGCCACTGAACCATTTGAAAGAGAAGTGTGTAAATCCTGGCATATTTATTTAGTTTACTTTTTGATTCACTACTTCAGTAAGAGTCATGAGGTCAGAAAAGCTGCCAGTCTACCAATGTGTATTGAGTATCAACTCCCAGGCATCATCCTGAGAGCAGAGATGGTTTTGTCCTCAGGGAGCTTCTCGACTAGAGGGGGAGCTAATAACTAAACACATGATTATTAATTAATTGGTTTCAAAGGTGGCAGCTAGGAAAACATGCTGTGAGAGAGTGCTTGATTGCACTGCATAAGTTGGTGAGGAGTGTGCAGGTTA